CATTTGCTTCAGAGGACCAATTAAAAAATATTCCTCAAAGCACAGAACAACAATTTTCCCCAGACTCACGCTGGCATTTTCATGGTGCCACAATCCTAAGTTCCTTCAGCCTGGAACTAAGAAAGCGGGGAGCTCCTCTGAATCCTGTTTCTAACCTCCCTCAACCTACAACGGCCCCTAGAACACGCTACAAGAAAAACAGATTGCTCTGCCTATCCGTTATGAGAAGTAAGCAAATATACTTTCAAGAATAAAGCACACAAATCAGTAATACTGGAAAAATCAAAGAGCAGCCAAAGCAGATTCTCAATTTAAGGAAGATATGAAAGCTTTTTCTTACATTCCTGATCTGCTGAAATAGAAATAACTGCTGAAAAGCCTTATCATTCCCCAAAAACTTTGAGGCAGCCACAGTCTCAAAACTCACATCCACAGAAAGCTATATTTTGACACCCACTGATGGCAGAAGCAAAGATGAAATGTTCTTAATACACACACAAAGAAAATATGTCTTTTTATTTTTAAGTTCACAATGTATTTATTTCTCCCCTCTGCCTTCCTAACTTCCTCCCACCAAGCTAAGTTGTGTCATCAGGCAAAAAGAAAAAATTCACACCAGTTATGAGTTTCAGTTGTGAAAGAATTTTGATACAGTGATAGTCCTCCTCATAAAAATAGAAAGCATGACACTTGGAAGTGAAATATCTATTGAGAACCAGAGCTAAAAAATATTCAAAATGCTATGAACCCAAAACACTGGCAATGAGAAGGTAACTGGTACAAGTTTTACCCCTTGACAGTGATCTGAGTTGATGGCAAAGTTCTGAAATACTTCTTTCCATATATATATATATATAGTTTATATGTATAGTTCTATATATATATACATATAGTTACTTGTATGTGTAGATAAGTGCATATAGTTACTTTAAAAGTCTTATTTTTGTTCGTGTATTTATTTGTTAACCAAATTAAGAAACAATGCAAACCTTTTAAACAATAATTCAAATTCTGCGTTTCAACACTGTTGAATATCTTTTCCCAGCTTCAGCAAGTTCAGCAGCTAGGGAAACCACATGAGTGGTTTTCAGATTGAGAGCAGTAACCTCATGGGACTGGGCAGGAGAAAGACAGTTTTGAGAATCACTGGACTAAGCCATTGCTGTGTAGATGTCATCAATTAATATGTAACATTTATCAAAAAAAGGGAACTCAGACTTTTCATTCAAGGAGGTTTAAACACACCTAAACCCGTCATGTATACACAACTATTTACTAAAATGGCTTGCATCCCTCAAAAATAATAATAAATGGTAAATAAAAAGAGTAAACAAAAACTACAATACAAACTAGATAGCTTAATTACCACCCCAAATAATTACAGACATACAGGAGAGGAAGAGAAAGTTCACAGAAGAACTGTAAGCTTCTTGTTTCCCAACTACTGTACATTTGCCATTAGAACTGTGGTAATATAAGCTCTGCTTCAAATATGTATGTGTATCCCAAGGAGGCTGGAAAGAGTGGACATCCTGTTAAAAGCTCGCTTTTGTCCTCACACGTATCCCAAGTGGTAGGCTCAGAGCCAGGAGAAGACAAAAAGTCTCCCTCCTCACACCAGCCAGTTCCCAAATCTGTCTGTACACTAACTCTCGTGCCGCTGAGTAAACTGTGAATGTCTGAAAAAATTATGGGGCTGGGCTGGGGTTGGAGAAAAAAAAATTATTCTAGTATTGCCTTGACACAAGACAAAATTACCATGCTGAGCTGAACTAACTGAAAACTCTTCAAATTACAAGCATAAATAGTTTAGCTGTCTTTTCGGTGAGTTCAACAGAATGCACACTGAGAATGTTTACTTGAGATGTGATACAATTCCATTTGTGTACAGCTTTTACATCTGTTGCTAATGATATCAAATTATTGATTGTTCATTTTCTTATATTTATTTAAACATTAACTATATACTTGGCAACCTGATGCTTTTCTCTTTTTTTAATTTTCCAGACAACTTTTTATTTTTGCCTGGCTTCAGTTGTAATTACTTTGATCTTCCAGAGTGTATAATTATTTTACTGCTTATTTATTTCTATGAGAAAGGAAAAAAGTTTGACCTAGGAGATCTATATGTGGCAATTTGTAACAGAATCACATAGCTTATATTTAGGAAATCATGGTTTTGATTAAGAAGCAACCATTTAGTTCCCACTGTTTTATTAAAACAGACATTAGCAGATAATAGGAAACACATTTAACACTGTAGGCAGCATTTAGTTTGCAACGTCAATAAAGTTATTTTGAAGCCCCTTCCTATTTTGCATCTACCACAGCTCATGTGAATTGTTTTTTGCTTTTACTTTCTAACAGCCAGCTCTAGAGTTACACATAGATATGGGTGCTGGTCCCTAAGACTCTAAGTTATAGTTTTACCCAATCTATCCAGACTACAACCTAAAAAATGAATTGCTGCATCATCCATCCACCTTCATGGAAAACCCAAGTCCTTTTTTTAAATTGTTATTGAAGGAGTATGTGATGACTGAAACATGTAACTCAAGTCACCGAGTTTGCATACTGAGCTTTCCTGCAGGAATATCTGGCTACGGGAAAGAAACAAAACATCGTGAAAACAGAGATGATGAGAAATTGAAACCACCCACAGAAATGCAGAAGTCTTGCTGTTTCCAGGGGGTTTAGATTACTGCCCTGAAGTTGCATGGCTGTTTATTCTCCATGTACCACTGTACCTGCCACAGATGCTTTGTTTTCTCTCCCACTCATACGGTTGATGAATCAACACTACTTGAACTGCTTTATAGCAGCTTGTGTTTACTTCACACATACCTTAACCTTCCTTTTTCTCCTCCTACTAACACACACACACTTCCAAACAGCAACGACTGGCTGTGTCTCTTTGAATAGCACAGATACAGAGTTATCTGGCAAACTCTTCAGGTTTGGATCCTTGACCTCTTGATTGAGGTCTCATTCTGCTTTTACTGCACTTAACAATTTAACTGTGCACTTACTAAGTAAAGAAAGTAAGAGCTTAAAGAATTCAATGCTCTAAGAATGGAAGAAAGTGGAAGACAGCAGTGTGCTAGAAACACTCAGAAGCTGTAGTGACATCTCTACAGTGAAGAACACTACAGTTAAGGGCTTCCAGTGCCTCTGCAACTGGCACCCTTGCCCAGTTTGGAAAAAAATAAAATAAAAAACCAAACAAGCCCATCTCTGTTCTCCCAGAACAGCAAGTAAAAGCAAACGGTGATGACCTTGAAGCTGTTTGATTCCTTTGATTGTTTTTTAACCAAGAGGATATGTTAGAGCACTTCGATAAAAATATTTTATTAAGAGATGCCATTTCAAGAAAAGAAACACTTCTGAGTCACACAATGGCAATTTAGAGGGTGAATAAGCTATCCAGGCACGAGGGTAACCATGTACTAACATGTCCAATAAACATTTTTACTTCAAGCCTAAATCATTTTACCGAGTGAAAACCAACACCTCCATTTCCTCATCTGTAATGTTACCCCACTTCTCCTTGAACAATATTCTTTCTAGACACAAATGATTTTACCATAAAATGTTCTTCCTTCCCGCCCTGCCCCTCCCCCAGTGAAAAATCTAATCACTGCACAGCCCAGGCCTGAGCATCTGAACAGGTATGCTAAGCACAAGCCAGATGTGCAGAGGAAAACCAGATGCCTCAGAACTTGTTCTGATATTTTATGTAATTTTGTTTCATGTGTTTCTGACTCAAGCAACAGATCCTTTACGGTATTATTATGCAGATTTCTAGTGTGTCCTATGGAAACTAAACAAGCAACCTTTTATAGCTCATGTATGCCAGCTTTTTAAGAGAGAAAGACAGCAGACTCTTTTTGAAAGATGCTAATGTTCACACAATTAAAAATACAATACTTTCTTAAAAAGGACAGGAAAGGACCCTATTTCTGCATAATGCTTGTGAATCCTGTTCTGACTTTTCTGGCCACTGAAAGGATCACAGACAGACGGAACAAAAATAGCCTAGGTCTTCTTTCAGACAATGAATCTTCCCTTCAGTGGTGTAACAAAGACTATGAAAAAGCCTACCACACGGTAAAGGTAATCTCCAAGACTTATGGATGTTTGGAGAGAGAGGAGCCAGTTGTGGAAGAGCTTTTGACTATCCCCAAACTCCTGCTTAAAGCACAGGTGTGTATTAAAACAAAAAAACTACCAAAACAGGTAGTGCAGTACACACACACACACACACACACACACACACACATACAAGTCACTTCCCAAAGAAAAGGATGAGTAAACAAACAGAGCACACATGACAGATGCTTGTCACATCACTTCGTGCCCTATTAGAAGGTGATCAGACACTGCAGCAGTGAGAGTAGGATGAACTTACGCAGAATAATTTTACTGCCTCAGGCATTCACCGCTAACCAACTAACAGAATTTAGTTGTAAAAAAATACAACTTTTTAATCTTAACTTCAGTGGGTACACCACCTTTTTATTTAGTCTCCTAACAATCATGTATTAAAGGCATCACTGGTACCCAGATTCCACATTTAGGAATGCCAGTACACTTAGAGGTACTGAAAACAGAGAGCAAGGGCACATGTACCTTGGATAGTTTTTTAGCTTTCATTAATAAAATGCAACTAAGGTAATTTACGCAGCAATGTAACTTTTAAATCCAGAGCCTCTGGAACATTTATTTTCCAAAATGTTTTAGCTTAGTTCAAAACACAGTTGATCCTTCAGCACAGCTAAATGGGGTATTTTAAGCATGTTTTAAGTGGCTTGTGTTTTCCATGCCAGCCATGTTTGTAAAGCATCAGATCTAATTAAAACGTGCTATGGCTGTGCCCACTTTGTAGACAAATTCACTAATATATTATTATAGCTTATTAACACTTTTACTTAAAGTGATCTCAAACTGTCAGCAGAAGTTCAAGAACCTGGAAAGTAAAAAACAAAAAATAAAAAATTTACCTTTAATCTTCTTGTACTTTTTGTACCATCTCCCGAACTCCTGGCACTTGGTTGCTGACACATTGGCATAGTATGTGCTATTTACAATGGATGAAATCATACTCTGGAAGTACAGAAAGAAAGACAAAAAGTGTTTTAAAATATCTTGCACAATTAGAAATCTTTTCCAGGGAAAGTGAATTACATGTGAGTGCACAATGAACATCCATTTGCTACTTTAAAACCAAGAGAAGTGTTTGATGAGCATACAAAATCACTTTTATTCTCCATTCTATAGTTCCAGCCATAATTAAAATTAGAAAATAATAACTATTATTTTGTATAATAATGGAAAAAAAGACGTAGTACAAATCTAAACTGAGATTTGCAGTTCAGGTTGGGCAGGGAGGCAGTTCTACTTTACTTTGTATTTGTGAGATTACAGTATCTAAACTTTAGTTGCACAGCAACAGGCACTGCCGTGCTGGGGAACACACGCTCACTGCACCCGGGTAAGAACAAGCATGATTTAGGGACCAGATCCTAAAGGTAAGATCAGATGCTTCAGCATGCATAATCCAAATAATGCTTTTCAGGTGGCTCTGTTCTGCTTCCAAATGCAGCGAGACCACACAGCCAAGAATGCAGTGCTACTCGCTGCAGAACAACAGTTAGGCAAATAAGTTAGATTAGTATAAATTATAGAAACGTGTGATTAGCCCTTGTGTGAAAAATCACCCAAAAGAGAAATTAACAGTGTCATTCAGAGCAAAGGGAACTACACATACTACAATAGAGAACAGCCAAAAAAAAACCACAAAAAGCTCAACAAAACTGAAATATCCCTTGCCTAACCACCACACCTCTCTACTCTGAATTCCCTCTAAGCAACCCTCAGTATAAGCCAACTGAAGCAGAAAGGAGCAGAGTAGTTTTGTAGCACCTGATACCCATAAAAGTGATACTTCCTATCTGGGATGCTTCTGCTCATAGGGTGGGAAAGAGCCTGGTTACTGGTAGTTCTTCCTTTCTTCCCCCTTCCTCCCTTCATCCATTCTATAGAGGAGGCATCTTTTTAACAACATTTTGCTCTCCTTTTCCCCTCCATGAACTCTTCCAGGGTCAAATCATTCCCAGCACACGTATGTTTCCAGCAAAGAAACGCAATCTTACACCACTAACACATGGGAGCCAACGCATCTCCTCCAGAAATCACATTTTCCTTATGACCTCCTTCCTCACTCACGTCAGAGCTCAGAAAAAGCCCTGGCACAGTGTATGACCTCTCTGCACAGAGATGAGAGTGCGAGAATGATCTCACGGCTCAAACAAGCTATTTACCATAGGTTCAAGCTTTGGCCCACCAGCTCCCACAGGCTGTTGTGCAAAATGGGATCTTGGCCATCTCTGAAAAGCCCTATAAGGCTGACTCAATTTTAACAATGCTTTAAAAACAAAAACACCCCCTCCCTCTTCCAGATTTATCCAGCCTTCTACTCAATTCACTGCAATGTCACAGGACCCCAGCTGCTCCTGAAATCTTGAGTTTTGGGGACTTAAAAAATGTGAGCAGAACAGAGAGACTTAAGATAACTGGGTGATGCTGATGAGTTTTAGATTTCAACAGCCAATTTCACTTTAGGTAAGGGGCTCTTTTGCCATTTCACTTTAACTTTTCCACTCAGAGGCTGCTATGGTGCACTGCAGTAGAGTCTGAAGGCTATGAAGTAAGAGCCTTTTTAAATGGCAGCTTCAATTTCCAAAACTGAGATTCAATTTTCTAATTAAAATCAATATTCTGAGATATAAACCTAGCATTGTGGCAGTCAGCAGCAATTCCCTCCCCATAAATCCTCCCTTGCTCCAAATCATTTTAACAAGCAGTAGTATTCTGAAAGCCAAACATGGAGATAGCCTCTGCTAAGGAAGGATTTTGAACAAAGTTGAGGTGAGACAACTTGGTTTTAGAGTCTCTTTAGTTAAATTTCCAGTCACCAAGAAAGGGCGAGGAAATTGTTTAGCTCTGTCTACATAACAATTTGGTGTGTGTCCCCTCCGCCCCAATCCTCTAGTTCTACAATAAATAGGCATTACTGAAACTGTAGGGCTATTAAATAACACAAAATCTATTAACCCACTAACCTTTCTTTGAGAAAGCAAAGCTTAAAAAACAGTAAGATCAAATAGTAAATCAACTATGGGTGAAACATCCCAGGACAGGTTCTCTTCAACTGCTTGACAGTAGAGCAGAGGAAGGAACCATAACTACTTTCATGGTACATATGCTCACTATTAAATGGAAAGGAATCAGAGGGGTATTTCTGCAAGGAATCATGATAGTCTGCAGAAAGTAAATATCTAATCAGAAGAGAGTGGCAAAAAAAGTACTAATTGCAAATTTCTAGATAATGCATAGTATTCCTGGGAAAATCCTTAAAGAAGAACTAGATTATATGAAGTAGCAGATATGTTTGGTATGTGTGTGGCCGCGACAGCCACAAGGAATGAAAACTACTTTGACCAGGAGCTAAGAAATATCCTCACAAAGAAAATCTGGTTCAGTAAGTTCAAGGAGAAAAATATGGGACATGCTTACATCTCAAGAAATCTTGCTCCAGCAAAGAGACAAAACTCGTGGTCAGTGCCGCAATGAGGTACACAACATACAGGAAAGACAGAGGTCTCTATGCAAATATGGAAATGTTGAAATAATTGGATTTCTTTCTGCCACACGCACTCCCCCCACCTGTCCTCCTTCCCCCCACTTGGTTAACTGGGATTTATTTGTTTGAAAAGAAGCTGTATGCTAAGGGTAGCTAAGCTGCAGCCACATAATACACCTAGCAGAAAAAAACAGAACAATTTTAAATCAAAGTGAATGATTACATTTCCCATTAGCAGCAATCAGAATCCCCAGCTGGGCTGCATGGAGTGCTTGGGCACTGAGAACCAGAGCCAGAGCACTGCTGCTGGTGGGAGCAAGAGCTCCCCGTGCTGCCCCTCTCCACTTCTGTACTTGAGGCACTGTGAACACATTAATAAACAGCAGCATTTACTCTGCAGTTTGACTCCTAAGAGACCACTCTGCAATTTGCTGCTGTCAATAATATATTAACCACAAGGGGGTTGTAATGACATTTCACATTTGGCACGATATTTTTTTAAAACTGATTTGGGAGAAGGAATTGTATTAGAGGCATATTCAGATCATGGTAACAGACAGCTCCTATACAACCTTCCATTGTATCTTTTGCATTTTGTGAGCCAAAACAAATCAGACTGAAACTTTTTATAGCAATAATAATAATAATACAAGCTGCATTCTTGCAGTCCCAGTTCAAGGGTTAGTGACTACTCAAGGTCACTTACACCTGTGCTTAAAAGTAAGCAACTTCAATTTTCTACAGAAGGATCTCCTTTTAGCTTTGTCCACTAAAAAAAATACTGAGGCGAGAATTTTTGCTGCTACAGTCCTGTCAACAGCAATTTCATAAATATATTTCAGGTTGAGGCTATAGAAGGAGTAAACCAACTGCAGCATTTCCACCTGGTAGGCTTTGAAACTGAAGTGAGAGGAAAAAGACCCAGACAACAAATGAATTCTGCATATGAAATTATGCATAGTTTAGTTATATTGGATATTGAAGAAGACTGGGCAGAGACAACCATATGCTGCAATCATCATTAGCTGACCAGATTCCACAGATAATTCTATTTAAAGAAATTACACTTAAACTGTGTGAAAAGAAAAATACTTTCGTATTCAACACACTTATGCTTTGTGCATATTGAGAGTCACTGTTACTTTTTTAGTAAATAAGGCAAGTTACACGGCTTTTCCTTACACAGCCTTTCCATTACTGTTAGTTCTGCAGACCTAGCATGGCTAAGGAAGATGAGGAGTGTAATTCCTGCCAATTGCAGAGACCTAAATTCTGCTCTCACCTCTGTGCTTTCCCTAGAGTTGTAATCATAACACAGTGAGGCAAATTTGTGCTGGTTATACGTAGCAAGAATTACCTTGGTTCATGGAGTTGTGGATCATGAATTGCAGAATGAGTGTACAGTGTAATGCAAGACAGGTAACCACAGGAGAAAAAATGTTAAATACAGGCTAGCAAAGCAACGGATTTCAGCAAGCAGGTACTACTGAAGCTTTTACTTTTTAAATAGAAAACAGACAGATTAACCTATGATTCTAACGAAGTTTTTAGAAGGCAATGTATTTTTCACTCCTAGCAAAGTTTCTCAGTCTGGGTGCTGAAGTATTTTCTGCTTTTTCTGAGAGGCAAGGAGGACTCAGTCATGAAAATTTTATGAATCTCTTGTTATAACATCTGAAGTACAAATAGCACTCATGATATCTGTAGGAACCTGTGCCTTAGTTGCTTCGACATGACATCACTGCCGTTTATAAAGCAGTCATGGAGAATGACACCAAGTTTTTGTTCTTTTTTTTAACATAATTAAATATACAGGTTTTGATGCTGTTTCCTAGAAATTGGGTCACAATCGTTAAAACAGCATACTTTTTATATTGTTGGAGGCTGATGAGAGCTACCTATGGGTTAGTGGGGGAGGCAGGCTCTGCTAGTGGGAAGAAGCAACTCAAATCTTGCATTCAAGGACCATTAGTCTTACTGCAAAAGGTTCAGATACAGATCTAAAATAAGAATGCCTCTGAATACCAGAATAAAAATCAATCAATTCATTCATAATTTCTACCAAGCAACCTACTAAGAAAACATGGTATAAAGATACTCCTTTTCATATTATTTTGAACTTCTTCTTTCTAAACAAAACAAGAAATTGATTTTATACTTATGGAATTGTTTAGTCTAAGCCCTTTACTGAACAAATATGAGCTTTAGATCTTGTAAATCTGACTTTCCCAAAGTCTGTTAAAAACACTGACCTGTGAGAGAGGGCATTCTTTGGCTAATGTGCTCTGATTCATCTCTTTGAGCAGTTCCTTTAAGGCATTGCGAACTGTGGCATGGTTCCACTGCTCTGCTGGCAAGTCTTCCAACTTTGAACAACTGTTAAAACAGAAAGGAAAAAGTAGATAGAAACATCACCTTCACAGATGCTTACTCTTTGTGTACAAGTGCTACTGACCTTTAAGCAGCGAGCACAACATTGGAGTTTCCTGCTTAGTGAGGCCACCAAGGTGTTCCTCTTCTCTTTCCCCTCCTCACCAAGCCCAACTCCCAGAAGATGTACAACACAACTTAAAGAATGACAGTACATGGTAAGAACAGCAGCTAATCCTACTACAGTACTGTATATGTGCATAACCGTTCCCTCTGGGGCTTGGTGGGGAGCAAAGAAACTGCATACAGCAAGCTCCAGAAACGGCTGGATAAAGCCATCCTCTCCAGAGAAAGACACTCTCACTGGGACAGAAAAACAAACATACGTGCTGCACTGCCACTACCAAAATCCCTACACAGTAAGGGCCTGTATTGTGTGGAAGCAAGGCTTTGAGTGGCGAGCCTGAAAAACGAATTTTATTTTATACCAGCTCTTATACTGCCCTCATCATTGAAGTATCTGAGAGCCTTTCAGAAACACACAAAGCCACATGACCAACATCTGTCACACGTATTTCATTCTCACCTTCATTCTACAAGAATCACATATGTAGTGAAGCTTTTGTCTTCATGTGACTTGTGCCTTTTTTAATCTAACAAGCTTATGGTCTGTGTCTGCATACATGGGGACAGACCCGAGAAGTACATCAGAAAGTTTAGAGACGCTTGCCATTGCCACTCATGACTAAGAAACTTGATGCACGTTCTCCAACCAACCTCTGAGATGGTTCTGTCTTCTGCCTATACAGCCTGGCTTTACCCTCTGAGTTGAAAGTTCAGCTGTGCTTGAGGAGTTCAAGTAGTCAATGACCATCTTTATCTTAAAGTCACGGGCTATCTTATACTTACACAGCACCCAGGCATTCAACCACTTTGAAGATAAAGAATGAGACCTTGATCTTGAAATGATACCCTCTAGTAATACAGACATGACATTGGGCTACGTGGACATCCAGTAGCTCATACTTTTGAGGAGATGAGTTACTGCACTCCAGTTTTATAGCAGCTACAGGTTCTAGATGCTCTTTTACAACTAAGCTGCAGAGATGCAGTCTAGCTGAGAAATGATAACAGCATGTAAAGCCAAGGAAAGGCCTGTTAGTCGGAACTGGAAACCCCAAGCACCACCAAAAATATAAGAAGAAAGAAATGTTGCTGCCTGGAAGGTTAATGTCAGTGAGGCAACAACTACTTCCACATTCTAAACTGAACTGAACAGTGGGACGGTATGCACCTGCCACCAAAGGACACGGACACATGTTCCAACAGACCCCTCTTCTGTGCAAGTGATTCCAGGCTGTCTGTTATTTTTGGCTCTTTCCTCTGATGTATCCTGGCCATAGAGCTACAGCAGAGACTGCATAATGTAGGCTTACCAGTACATTTAGAGTATGCTGTGCACTGTCAGGGACCTGACGCAACTCCTCACACAGACACCAGTAACTATTTGAGGACTCTTTGAAGGCCAATAGAGAGAAATGGGGAGAAAAAGTGGGAGGTGGGAAAGGAGGGCACATAAGTGTAAAAGTGTCAGGAGCTTTTGCTTTGCTAATCAGAACTAGCATTCAAGGGAAGGAAAATATTTTTCAAATGCCAAATGGAGCTTCAGTAACACATCCCTTCCTCATCTTCTCGCCTTTTCACTGGGAAGACCACTGGAGGAAAAAAAGGAAAGTCAACAAGCTCCCCTCCTGCCCATCTCACCAACTGGCAGAAGAAGACCTGGATTCTCAGAGTGCAGATCCTGGAGAGAGGCAAGCAGTTTGCTGTTGTTGGGGTTTTTTTTATACATTAAGGCCTCGAGAACCCATTCAATTAGGGATTGTGGAAAGGTCTGCCTTTAAAGGCCCCAGATCATTACTTGATTGAGCTGCCCCTCCTCTCTCTGCTACCATATTGCTACTTCAGAGAACATACAAAATCAGTAGGAACATGCACCAAAAAGCTGCCAGGTGACCCACCCTTCTCTTCATTTTTCTTTTCATTTCATCAAAAGACCAGAGATTAATGAAGACAGGATGTGCTAATCTCTGTAGCATCGCTGTACTCGACAGAGCAGCTCAGAGAATAGAGAAGGACAGATGTTCAGAAACACCCACCTTTGTAATTGGATTTTCAATGTCACAACGTGATAGACATCTTGCAGCATGTCAGCTACTGTCGCATCTGGTGCATCAGTCACGTAACTGAGAGGGAGGGGATTCCACCTCCCAAGCTTGATTATTCCTGAAAAGAAAACAAAAGATTCATACTTTATATTTTATCAGCCATTTACTAAACTCTTTGATAAGCTTGTCTGTTCACAAGATTCAAGATCTGCCTTGAGGTTTATTGCAGTCTTCCTCAAAAGGATGTGTTCTACTGACTCCTGAAGCAAACAACGGGGAAGAGTAGGAACAGATTTTAAATTCTTAGCAGAGAGCTGTTGACATGTTCCTGGCTCTTAAATTACTTCAAGGAAGCACAGGAGGCTTCCTCCCTTTATTTACATCTTTCATTATCCTACTAAAGCCTAGTTCTCTAAGTTAGAACAAGCTTTAAATACTCTATAGTCCTGATTTTGCTGTCTACAAAACCCTTCAGTAAATAAATGCATTGGTTTTGACTTGAATAGGAAAATTCCTATGTGTGGGTTTTCAGCACACAGTTACAATCTAAGCATGGTACGACTCCCAGTGTGGATGGATAGCACTGGAGACTCACCAAGTAGGAAGAGTTCATTCCCAGCTACAAGTTGCACTATGCAGACGGTTGCTTTTCTTTGTGGAAAAAAACAACTGCAAGCTGCCGACCACAGATCCAAAATAGCATTTTGGGGGCAGGGGAGAATGCTGTAAGTCCTATTTCTACTTCTGTTCATTCTTTAATAGAGATCATCACCTCTTCTGGATGAGCTTGTCACAAAGACTGCAAACTTGGATGGTAAACCATTTGGTGCAGAGGTATTATTTTGTTTAGACAATTGCAGAGGGCCCACCCACACCAAAAACAATGACTAGTACCCAGGAATTACTTCCAGGAAGACACCAGACAAAGCAAGCCACAGTGCCATCCTACATGAGAGCAAAGCAGCTCAGCTGTGTTCTGCACTCTTGCAAATACTGCTTTTATTCCTTCCTCCACTGAGTTCCCACAGCTTCACTGTTCTGCTCACATTACTCAGTGCAGCCCCACAAGACACCAGTCACCTTTTCTCCCATTTAAACTGATGCCTTTTGAGGTCTGTTTATATACTTTTTGATCTTTGGAAACACCATCTGCAAACCCTATTGCCAGAAACACACTAATAGATGAGAATACTACTTCCTCTGTGATAACAGGAGCACCAAAAACCCTCTTTGGGTATCTGGAAGGATGCTGTGATGCCAAGAAACTTCAGTTCTCTCCTCCTCACTTTCTACTCCCAGTTCTTCACCACCTCTGGATCTAATCAAACTGAAAAAAATGGCACAGGCCTTTTATCCTGATCTCCCAAGCATGATCATAAAATAAATACCACCTCTGAAACAGCAAAACAAAGCTTCTTGCACAGAGACAGTGACAGAACACAATGCTTATGAGCCCATGAAATATCTGCTGTGGAATGCTTTTTTCCCCATTCCTACACAGGTTGAAGAGGAAATAATTTTAGTACAACTCCTTTTCTGTAGCACTTAAATCTTTGCATTTACCACTGACATACTGCTTTGCAAGGTACTCTATCACCACATACTGAAAGAAGCTGGAAGCGACCTAGTTTATCCTCAGTGGCACAAAGTACCACTGTAATATGCTGGTACAGATAATATTTGAAGAGCAGATTAGAAAGCTTTTGGCAAGGGGAGATCTTGTCCAAATGAAATAAGAAGTTACTAAGTGTTGCTTGATATCCAATGCTCGAAAATGGGACATAAACAGAACAAAAACATTTCAGTGATGCACTGTTTCAGTATTAAGATTTAACAATCTGGTGCTGAATATGCTGCAGTATAAATAGTGCCTGGACTCAGATCCAGTAGAGTAACACACAGCGCTCATTCACAGCACCGTATGTCTCCAGTGCTGGCTCCTTGAGTCATATTCCACTTGCCAAGATAAGCTGTTTTTCTTAAGGGGATAGTTTACTTAATGTTATCTCTGGTGACAAGAAGAAATGCATATAGTACAGCATATATTAGTCATGAAATGAGCATTAAGGGTCCACTGAGTAAAATACATGCTGGGAAAACACAGCTTAGCTGCTGACTTCCTTCACCCCCTTCTGCTATATAATAATTTAAAGCAAAATCACCTAAACCCTCAGAAATCTATACCAGCTTCACAGAACACTTGGCTTCCTATGTTTAACCTCGCCAAGTTTTCATGTAATTGAAAAAATAAGCATCATATGTGCCCCATAAGTCACATCTAAATTGGTAATATTTTACAAGAGGCTTTATTTTTCATTCAATTAAGGCAAGCACTCGGAGAGCACACCATCTGCAGCTGCTCAGGCCTGGCAGTGCTGGCGAGAGACAAAGAGACTGTCAGAGGTCACTGAAGTTACCAAAGGTGTCCCCAAACTAAAAAAGTTTAAAAGATAAAAACCACAGCGCAGACACAGTGCACCATGGGAAATACTATGCAAATTGCTTTACAGGAAATGTCTGCTACTACTGGAAGTTAGGTAGGTATTTTTTTTTAATCCTTCTCTACAACTGGAGAGGAAATTGTTTTGGCTGGATTTAGACAAACACAGGTGTTGCTATAATGCTCGGTGCCTCTGCACGTTAACACCTGCCGCGAGTCCTTTACTCTGTGTTACTGCACTGCTGATGTGCGCTATTTTTTCAGCCGCTGTGATATGACGTGTGAATTTTTTTTTTCCAGAGCACATGAAGCTGGTCCAAACAATAGCCAGAAGCCAGCTCCCCAGTGGACTTCACAGGTGGTTTACTTCATGGCACTGACACTGTACTTAAGGCGACTCTTGGGCTGCATTTGGGAAGATGATGCAGCTTTTTGAGCAAACTTATTCTTTGCATTTTAGAAGATATCTCTGAGTGACTCCTCAGTAAAATCCAAATGGACAAAATTTTTCCCCCTAAAAAGGTCCCTTCTCATCCAAGACTGGGTGTTTCTAGTGTAAGAGCAACCCCAAGATGAGAGCAGCCTGGTAGCAAGGAGCCACTTCCACATCATGTTTTTTATTGTTCATCCCATTGACTCCAAATGGTCCAGAGCTCAGGCCTTTAAAGAAATCACCTCAACTGGCCTGACTGAGCTTTTATCCTACTATGACTGAGACTTGGGAATGAGGACAGGAAGGAGTAAAGGTCACTGTGTTATTAATGAATGCACTACTGCTCCAGGAGTATTGCTCCTCTGTCAGCTCCAGACCTTCTCAAAACTAGGTGTGGATAATGCACAGTAGATCAGGAAGTCCAAAAGCACATCTTTCATGAGTTCACAAAGCTCTTCTGTTAAAGAGCCTTGTTCTTTTTCCTCTACCAATGACGTTTGGAACCCTTTCCTGTAAGCTTTATAAAGGGAAAGTTCAACAGATTTCAGAGCTTGTGCACGCTCAAGAGATAGACATACACTAGAAAGGCTCTCGAGAACTCATCTAGAAATGGTTGAATGCAGCCTAGACCAGTTAGTCAATTAAAGACAATAAACAGAACAAACAGTTTTCTCAAAGCAATTTTTTTCAATACGTATTTTAGAAGAGATTCTTAATCCACGCAGCCTGTTGGTTCTTGAATGGCGTCCTTCTACAGACAGGTCTTTATTATTAAGTTTAAGCTTCAGCTTCATCAAAATGCAGATCAGGTAAAAAGATGCTGTAACCTGGTTTAAAATTTGCATAACTCCCTTTACACACAGAAATGCCAGAACACACCAGTGGCAAACTTCTGTGAGCTCACTGGTCAGATTAGCGCACATCAACCACTGTAACTCACTGCTGTTGTTCCACCTAGGCCAGTAATGTGCCATCCTGCCAGAGTGCTTTCAATTTAAAATGTGACTCGTTTGCAGAAGAAAGTGGTAACTTTGCAAGTCAGAGCAGAACAACACACTGAACAAAAGGCTTGACCAACTACATAATGGCTAACCTCCATACTTAGCAGAACTTCTCACAGGATCTTTAACTCTTAAAATGGGGCATTTTCCAAATTCCTTTTTGCAGCTAAACAGAACAAACAGGACCAGAACATGCCTCATACTGTCACTGGCTCCCTTCACAAATTATCCCCTGCTCCCACCATGGTTAGGCTCCTGTTTCACCTTTCACAAATTATGATTATACCCCAGTTACACCTTAAATGGACGCTTGTAGGTAGGTCACACATTATTAATGCAATGTATTTTAAATGCTAATCTGCTAGTGTTAAAATTAAGTCCCGGGATGAAATTAAGAACATTTTGGAAGTTCTTATTAGCATCACCACTCCCACCTCAACATTTTTCTGGAGACAGCTACAAAATGAATCATGAGTAATACTTGTCCAAATACATACCAAGAGTGAAAGAGAAGGAATTTTGTGTTCTTTGGCTAAAGGAGAAAAGAAGGATAGCAGAGAATGTAGATTCTTTATCAAACACTGTTAAGAAGAGCACTTATCAACGCTAAGCAGACAAACCATTTGAATTCCTGATGCACAACACCAAAAACTCTCCTTTTCTACAGCATAAGCAAATGTACATACAGTACAACTGCTCTGCTTGTGGATTGACAGACCCAGTCAGGCTGGAAACCTGAGAAGTGCAGAACTTGTTTCTTACACTGTAGCTCCATGATCACTCAGACTGTTGCAGGCTGTGGCAGTACAAGTTACACCCAGGCCAGGCAGACAGACATGCCTGCACAGTCAGACACAGCAAACACCACTGTGTTTATGCAAGCTGAAAGGCTGAGGGAATAGGCAATGCCCAACCCAGCATAACATCTCCTACGTTATATTTGAATCTGCAGCGTTGTACTGAACCAGAGCCATGGAGCTGTACCAGGTGTCCCAGCATTCGCTTCCCTGCATCACGGGATCACAGCCTGCGAGTGTCCCACTGCAAACACAAGGCTGGGTGAAGAACACAAACAACATTTGCTGTCATGCCGTGGGTTCAATCAAATAGTTTTATTTCAACATCTTACTGTTTAATAGCAGCTCTTATCAACAAAACACTAACTCAGGAGAATCTGGAGGTTAGCATTAGCACCCAAACGCTTTTGATTCCTTTTACAACCCCAAATGAAAGACCTCAATAAA